TACAATCCATTGAGTCCTAGGTTGGCTTCCTCTCTTATTCCCCTCGGTAAAGTTCAGAACAATGCTGCTCATTCAGCCTCCAGTATCAGCATTCTACAGACAGGTTCAACAAATGAATTTATGAAGAGATTGAAGGACTCAGCATGGACCACATCAATTCCTTCCATCCCTGTCTACACTGCTTCAATCCCCCTTTTGTCTGGGCACAGAGGCGAGAAGCCCTTCTTCTGGCCCGTGGATCTGTGTCCTCTATTTCTGGACTAGGAGCCAATCCAGAAGCATATGTAGTGTTTCTTTGTCAAATCTCCTTAGTCTCCATTGTTCTGGAAGAGTTCTTCATCTCAGTCTTTGCCTGTCATGACTTGACATTTTTGAAGGGCACTGGCCAGTTATTTGGTACAACTCCTCCTATTTTGAGATTGTCTGATGCTACCAGTGACTAAATTTATAAAATCCCCCCCCCACACACACATTCTTTTTTTGGTTTTTTGAGACAGGGTCTCACCATGCAGTCCAGGCTGGCCTTGAACTCACTATGTAGCCCTCATTGGCCTCGAATTCATGGGGATCCTCCTGCCTCAGCCTCCCCAGTGCTGGGATTATAGGCATGTGCCACCACACCTGGCTGAATTTCCATTTTGGGTCAGAAACGCAATAGTAGAAATAATGTGTCATGACAGTGCTACATACTGGGAAGTATATGTCTAGAAGGAGAAGTACTTGTTGCTTGCATTAAAGTTAATAGTCTGAAAAGTAAAACAGAAAGTGGTGGCAGCTGGGCTGGGGATAAAAATCTAGGGCCTGACACATGCTAGGTGAATGCTTTACCACTGAGATACATGCCCAGCCCTATAAAAAGCTCCTTTTGATCATAGCTGAGTTTATGTTCACAATGACTTTAGGCAGGGCCTCTAGATAACCTTGGGATGGGGCCAGTCACCAGAAAGACCAAGTGATTTGAGAGTTGGAACTTGCAGCCCCCCACACCAACACAGGTCAAGCTCTATAAAAATTCTTGAACAGTAAAATTTGATGAGCTCCTGGGTTGCTGAACACATGGAGATGCTGTGAAGGCAGTGCATCCAGAGACGGCATGAAAGCTCCGTGCCCTCTCCATACCTTGCCCTGCACATCTCTTCCATCTGGCTGTATATCTGCATCATTTGTAATATCCTTTATAATAAACTGGTGAACATAAATGGTTTCCTGAATTTTTTGAGCTGTCTTAGCAATTTTAAAATTTTTATTAGTGCATGTTTGCAGTACACATTGATTTTATTCATCATAGGGTGTTGGTACATGTAGATAACACATCTGAATTCTTTTTCATCCCCTTTCCTTCTTCTCCCTCTCTTCCCTTCCCTCCGTCTCTTGTTCAGTCTCCTTCCCTTTTGCAAAAGATCTCCCTGTTGCTTATTATCTATCTTTTATTTTGCTATTTTATTTATGTATACTTTGAGTTTCTCATATAAGAGAAATCGTGCAATATTTAAGCTTGTCTGATTTATTTCACTTAACATTGTGGTCTCAAGGTGCATCCATTTTCCTACAAATGATTCAAATGGAGTAGTACTCCATTGTGTACAAATATCACATTTTCTTTATCGATTCATTTGTTGATGGACATATAGGCCACTTTCAATATTTACCTATGATTCTTTTTTTTTTCTTTTCCAATTTTTTTTTTTTTTTTTTTGGTACCGGGGATCAAACTCAGGACCTTGCACTTTTGAGGCAGGCGCCAGAACCACTGCGCTAAATCCCCAGCTATTTAGCTATGATTGTGCTGCTATAAACATGGGTATGCATGGATCGCTGTAATATGATATCTTTAATTCTTTCAGAAAGATACCTAGGAGAATAGCTGGGTTGAATGGAATTTCCAGTTTTGGTTTTTGGAGAAATCTTAGAAAATTCATTGAAACCAAAGAGAGGGCTGTGGGATGCCCCTCCCCCATTTATAGCTAGTCTGTCAAAAATGCAAGTTACAACCTGGAAGTTGCAATTGGCATTGCAAGTGGGCCAGGGCAGTCTTGTGGGACTAAGCCCTTACTCTGTCTGATGCTATCTGCAGTTACAGGACATCCAGCTGGTGTCGGCTGTAGAAGCTCTTGCCACACATCCAGTCACAGAAGTGTTCTGTGCTGCATTGAGAGTAGGGAGTAAGATCAACGGGTCTTTTTTATTTCTTTAACATCTTACACTCAGATCATTTTTACAGCTCTCCTAGATGATTGCTTGCACCAAAGGCTTGCTCCCTCATCTCATGACCCACAATGTGGCATCAAAAGCAAAAAAGGAGAATTAGGTATGGGGTGGGGGATAGGTAGGGGTATATATGAAACAGGATGGGAAGTTGGCACACAACTGTTAAGACTGGGTACCATGTTCACGGTAATAACTTTCTGCAAGGCATTTGGTAGTATGAATCAATGGGCTTTTAGAAATGCACTGTGACCGGCAGCCCTCTTGGGTAGGAGTTATGGCTAAACATCATCCAGATTTGATCTTTTGCCGCAAGCAGGCTGGTGTTGCCATTGGAAGACTGTGTGAAAAATGTGTAATCTGTGACTCCTATGTGCGTCCCTGCACCCTGGTGCAAATATGTGATGAGTGTAATTATGGCTCTTACCAGGGGCGCTGTGTGATCTGTGGAGGCCTGGGAGTCTCTGATGCCTATTATTGTAAGGAGTGCACCATCCAGGAGGACAGAGACGGGTGCCCAAAGATTGTCAACTTGGGGAGCTCCAAGACAGACCTCTTCTATGAATGCAAAAAGCATGGATTCGAGAAGTGATTGGGAGGTGGCCTCTGCCTCCGCCATCAAGCTGCTGCAGCTGCCAGAAAAGACACCCACAACCACCAGCAGAGAGAGCTGGGCCCAGTGCCTCACTGTACCCACTCGCTAGCGTGCTGCAGGCTCACCCCCTTTCCCTCCCCTCCCTGCAGTGTGGGCTTGGGGTGGGCTTGGAAGAGGATTCTTCACAGAGCACCCTGGCCGACTACCCAGGAAAAACTGATAGGTTAGTTCATGGTTTTTCTTAACTCTTGAGAAGCAAGGCTCTGTTCTCGACATTGATGTGTTCTCTACTCCAAGAGCTGCTTAGCAGAAGTCCCTTTCATGTGACAGGGTGCCTACTGTGAAGCTGTCCCCCCACCCAGAACCCAGCATGTCGCTGTAATGGCAGTTGTCCTCGATAACCCTTTGGGGTGTGGCAGGGAGCAATCAGAACAGTAAATGTGATGCAAGCATTTAATCCTGTAACACCAGGTGGTGTGGGTTTCAGGTTATTTTTCTTCTTCTGAGACACTGGAAACCCTTTCTGTTGCTATTGTATTAATAAAGTTGGTGTTTATTTTCTGGTTTTTAAAAAAATGCACTTTGACTTAAGAACTTTTCTTTTCTTTTTTTTTTTTTGCGGTACCAGGGATCGAACTCAGGACCTTGCGCTTGCCAGGCAGGCGCAGCGCCACTGAGCTAAATCCCCAGCTGTAAGAACTTTTTTCCAGGAATTTATTTTAAGGAAGCAGTCACTCGAGGAGGAAGTACTATGTACAATAATTGTCAGCTCAGCAATATTTTTAGACATTTATTACACAAGCATCCTGTAAGGAAAAAAACTGTGGAGTCAGCCCAGGGGTGTGCATCTAGCCCCAGCTACTTGGGAGGACGGAGGAGGATCACTTGAGTCCAGGAGTTTGGGACCAGTCTGGGCAACACAGCAAGACCCCTGTCTATTAATGAAAAGAGAAAAGAAGTGTTACTTCAACAAAATGGAAGAGGGATCTAAGACAGATGAGGACAGGAGATACAAACAAAACAAAACAACAGTGACAGCTGAAGGATGAAATCAGCCCAGATCAGTTTCCTCTATTTTGGGTACACCGCAGTGGAAAAGGTGGGGAGCCATCCTGAGGATTGGGATGGAGAAAGTTCTCTCTAGCCCATCTGACCCCCAAACAGCTTGTCCTCTTACTTCTCGGCTCTTTAGTTTTGTTTTTTGAGACAGGATCTTGCTAGGTTATCCTCGCCGGCCTCAAACTCACAATCCTCCAACTTTAACCTCTTCCAGCCAGGAGAGGTGCCATATGCCTGTAACTACAGCACCTAGGAGGCTGAGGCAGGAGGATCACCATAGGTTCAAGGCCAGCCTGGGCAGATAGTGAGTTCCAAGTCAGCTTGGACTACATAGGGAGATCCTGTTTCAAAACAGAACACCCTGAATAAACAAACCAAACAACAACCACCCCTTAACCTCTTTAGTAGCTGAGATTAGAGTGTGCCACTGTGGCCAGCCAGATATGATTCTTGAGTTAAATATCCTGATGGCCTCTGCAGATTTATTTATTTTTTTTGGTACCAGGGATCGAAATCAGGACCTTGCGCTTGAGAGGCAGGCAGTGGCACCACTGAGCTAAATCCGCAGCCTGCAGATTTACTCTTGTTCCTTGAGTTTACTGACCCTACAAAATAGTCTTTTGTTCCTAAACAATTTTAGTAGGTGTTTTCTAAGAACAAGGATATTCTTTTTTTTCCCCTTTGCAGTGCTGGGGACAGGACAAAGGGCCTCATGCATGCTAGGTAAGCACCCTGAGCACGGAGCTCTATAGTGGGCCCAAAGATATTCTCTTACGCAACTACAGGCCAGTGACTAGAATCAGGAAGTTAACATTTACACAATATTATCTATATTTATATTTAGCAAAAAGTCCTAAAAATATCCTTCATAGCAAAAAGAATTTTTTTCCTAAATCAGGATCCAACGAAGAATTGAACATTACTTTTATTTTCTGTGGTACTAGGAATTGAACCCAGAACCTTCACACTGAGCTACATCCCTAGCCTTATTTTTTGAGACAGGATCTTGCGAAGTTGTTAAGTTTCTTAGCCTAGGCTTGAACTTGCAGTCTTGCCTCAGCCTCCCAGAGTTCTAGGATTACAGGAGTATGCCACCATGCCTGGCTTTGAGTCTTGCTTTATGTTGTTATGCCTCTTTTGCTTTTTTTTTTTTTTTGGTACCAGGGATCAAACTCGGGACCTTGCGCTTGCAAGGCAGGCGCCGGAACCACTGAGCTATATCCCCGGCCCGCTAAATCTTTTTTTTTTTTTGTCTTTTGCTTGCCATTTTAATCATTTGTGTCATGTCTCTGTAGTCAGTTTAAATCTGGAATGTTTTCTCAGCCTTTCTTTGTTTTTCAAGACTTTTTTCCTGAGATCAGGCACGTCATTGTGTAGATTATCCTTCAATTTTGGGGTCTCTGCTGTTGCTCTGTGATTAAATATCAGCACTATTTGCAACAGCAAAATAGCAACAACAAAACCTGGCAACTATTTACCTGTCCAATGATAAGGAAATGGCTAACTGAACTATGAGACATCCACAGAATGGACAATTATGCAGCCATAAGAATGACACTGACCTGGAAAGATACATCTAATCTTTCAGTGAATAAAAGATTACAACTTAGGAGGTAGAAGAGCCTATTTTTGTAAAAATAATATGTATAGCAATATATGAAAGTGTGATACAAAATATGGTGAATGTTTAAATAAAAAATTATAGTAAGAGACACATTGCCATTAATACCAACAGCTAGAACTTGCAAGGAGGTGACTTTTGTTTGTTTCTTGAGACAAGGTAGCACTGGTCTTGGCACTATGTGGTCCAGGCTGGCCTGTAACTTGCAGTGACCCTCCTGCCTCAGCCTCCAGAGTGCTAGGATTATAGACATGTGCTACCATGCCCGGCTGCAATTTTTTCAACAATAGAATTGACCACAGTAAAAGGGGCCAGGCTCTCTGAACCTTGCATGCTGGAGAAAGACATCATGTAAGTATGCAGCAGAAGGGTTCCAGCAGAAAGGCAGTACCGTTTTCACCTGTCTGCTGCTCGACTGGATTTGTGGGTGGAATGTTCAATTCCCCAGCTTTTGATCTCAGCCCTGCTCATCTGGTGATTCTCATAGGTTCTATAAGTAGGTGTGTGTTTTATCCTTCTTTTTTTTTGGTACTGGAGATCGAACTCGGGACCTTGTGCTTGTGAGGCAGGCACTGGAACCACTGAGCCAAATCCCCAGCCCTCTTTCTTTTGATTAGATAAGAATAACATGTATACATGTACATAAATACACTTTGCTTTCCCATGCACTTCAAGCTTTTACCTTGTATTTTTCATAAGCAAGTTGGTCAATCAACTCCATTACTTCTGGACATAATGGCTTCAACTTTCTCTCTCTCTCAATTCTTTCACTCCATTGCCTTCCAGGTTCCCACAGTTCACCTTACATCTGAGGGTCTTTCTTTTGGCAAGAAATACCGGATGTGAGGTCCGTTCCTATTAAATCTCTGCTAGTAGGTAAGGTAAGTAGTCCATATAGAACCCCAGGTGACAGAAGGACTTTTCAATATTGGTCCCATCATGTAATGTGTTACTCCTTCTCTTGGGTCACAGGCAAAAGCAGATTTGCAGATCAAAGGACAGCTCTTGCACTGTCAAGGACAACAAAGAGTCAAGAAGTAACTTAAGAACAAGAAAAGGCTCACTTGTTTTGGCAATACCAGGGTAGTCGTGGTGAATTTCACCAGAACACTTTAAGGGTAGTTGAGAAATACACGTGGTTGGACAGAAGGAGGCACAGTGGGCCGAGGAACAAGTAATAAAAACATGGAAGTGGAAATGTCAAGTGCACACTAGGCTTTAAGAAAATGAGATAGATGAGAGAATGAGGTAAAACCTGGAACTGGGAACACAGGTACAAGGGACAGTATTGAGGGAGGGGGGAGTCTCAAGTCTGTGTCCCTTCCTCGAATCCTCCTAAGTTTAGGAGTGAAGTACTATCTTTAGCTGCATTTTATAGGTAATAGAGGTGGAGGCAAGCAATAAATCAACCAAGCTTACATGCAGTTTGAACCCAGACTACCAAACTCTGGAGTTTACATGCTTATGTTTGCAGCAGATTCTAAGTACAATGGGAAAGATAAGGAAGTAAAGGACTGAAGATTGACAGAAGCTGAGACTAACTGGTAGCATCAGTTTGCATAGTTATGACTTTCTTTAGCAAGTCTTCTTCCCCAGATGTAAACAGGGGATGGGATGGGAGTAAGACAGGGGTAGTGACGATGGTGGTGATGTGACAGGGTGGCAAAGAACTGAGAGAAGTGAGAAGTCGAGGCCAGTGGTGTCCAAGGGTAATTTCCCATCACATCCAGACTGAGTAAAGAAGGAAGACCAAGGCCAAGAACTGCCCAATAAAGCAAACAAAGGAACTAAAGTCTGATAAACTTTGGCAAGTTAGGAATCTGGGCAAAAGGTGAAAAAAAGAAAGTAGAATCCCTATTAGCCTAACAGCAATAAGGAGAGGATGGCTCCAAAAGACAGAGTGATAGATGCTGAGGAGCTTAGCAGCAAGTCAATGCGGAGACTGAAGGCAACCAATTACTATACTATTAATGAATGATGTCACTACCAAACATAAACTCAGGTCAGGACAATTTAGTTTGGGACTCATGCTTCAATAGCCAGAATATTGGGTAGAAATTAGCATGGAATTTCAGTAACAGCCAGGTGACAGCTATAGTAGTGGATTTTGGTGAAGGGTGAGAATACTACAATATGGCAAAGACCAGAACGTCAATGGAATGGTTTGGATGAGTGTCCCTCAAAGGTCCACGTGTTAAAGCACAATCCCCAGGGTACTGCTATTGGGAGTGCAGCTACTGGGAGGTCCTTAGGGCACTGGGGACAAGCCCTTGAAGGGGATTATGGGACCCTGGTCTCTTCCTCTTTGCTGCCTGGTAAGGTGACCAGTTTCCATGATGTGCTACTTCATTAGAGCCCTGAAGCAATGCACTAATTTCTTTTGGACAGGAACTGTCCAAATTGTGAGCTAAAATAAACCTTTTCTAAATTTATCATTTTAGGTATTGTAACAGTGACAGAAGACTAACACAACCAGGAATGCTTAGGTAGGGACTAGAGTCAGAAAATGAATGGTCTTGAAGGGGTGAAAATTAAGGTAATAGAGTTGAATTAAGGTAATGCAGGAGGGCATCAAAGGAAAAAAAATGAATAGTTACATGACTGTTTCAAGTTTTGTGTTGATCTTTGTAGGAAGTGGCCTTCCAACTGTTGGCTGCATTTCCAAGTTTCATGAGATAGGTGACCCAGTTCCAAAGTGTTCCATGGGCCACAGTATAGACTGCCTAGATCCTCCCTCTTCCTCCTTGCCTCTTCCCAAGGGAGAAATAAAACCTGTCAAGGCTTCTGCCTGAGCAACACATGTTTTCTTTAATGCTCTATTCCTCTATTCACAGCACACTGGCTAGCTGCCCTGAGCCACTGGAGCACATGGGAAAGAGTGACATGTCGAACAACAATTCTTCTGAGGCATGTCCAGAAAGAATGCTGTATTTGAGGACAATGCCAAAATTCTGGCTCTCTGACCTGTAAAGTTTCAGAAACTCTTTTTGTGTTTGCTCTGTAAGCAAGAACATCTGAGACCAGGGTCCGAGGACTTATTGCTTCCTGGTAATACTAAATATAGAACATAAGCCTATTGGCCTTAAGGATCAGGAATGGTGGAAAATAAGCCTTTGTGTTAAATTGTCGAGTTAACCTCTGAAATGAAAATGACAGCAGTCCCCATGATTGCTGCAGTTCGAAGTTACAAAAAGAGCTCTCTAATGAAGTCACCCTATTTTGTTGCCCCCTTAAAGACTTCATTATTTAACAAACCCATAAAGAATGAGTGGACAGAAACATGATCAAAGGTTGGGTTATTGGTAAAACATTATAAGTTATTTTTGTAATGTTATATCTCTATCTTAAAGCTTTTTGTCAATAAGATGGTTTCATTAAGGTTGTAAAAGCTAAATAGCACAAAATATTTTTGAGAATTAGAAAAATCTAATTTTCATATACCATGAGTCATCCTTAACTACAATTTATTCTTTATTTAGAAACGTCCATGCTGACTGACAGGCATAATTTGAGAGTATCCAAGTTATTTTTAGTAATAATTTTTTTTCAGACACGTAGGCAACTGTTGGTTGAAATCACTAAATGAAAAAAAAAAAGTCACTTTCCAACAAATAAGCCAAAAGCAAAGTCAATTTTCCTGGTTAGTCTTAGATTTTATTCATAAAAAGCCAAAACAAGTAGTTTAAAAGAAAAACATTCAAGTGACTTTTTCTTGTTTCACAGAATTGACCAGTTGTTAGACACAGTCATAGAATAATGGTCCCAAGAGTTCAGCAAAACAGTACACCACCTCTTCATGTGTACTGAATTGAGCCACATATGACCCTGGACATGGAGAAGTAGGTCAACCTGATAACAGTAGACAGTGATGTACAATCTGTTTCTTTTCAAAAAAGAAAGGGAAATGATTGATCAATTATTACAATTAATACACATGAAACAAAACTTTTTGATTGCATCATTTTACAAATGAAACATATTGCCTATTTTCCCAAAGATAACCCATATGTTGTTTAGAGATATAACCTATCACAACAAAATCAAAACACCATAGCATTTATATTAAAAAAGGTACCACACACACCTCTTTTCACTAAAAAGCACTGTTCTGAAGTGGAGAAGCAGGCAAGCTTAATCCCTATAGATGGACCATTAAATTGGTACACATTTTTTTGCATGGCAATTATCAAAACTTTAACTGTACATACCTTTGACTTACTTGTCCCACTTTTGGAAATTTAGCCTAAGAAATTACTTGTATAAGAACATGAGGATACTGTATGTGAGACTAGATAAAACAATCCTAGCTCATCCATACAATGCAATGTTACAGAGCTGCTAAAAAGCATGTGAAAAATCTAGATGCACTGACACCTTGCAATGTGTTCAAGTGAAACATAGTACAGCACCTAATAGCACTTTAACATTAATAGCATTATCCTAACAAAGAAAACTATATAAGTTATATATATACAGGACAGCATATAACAGGATACATATCCAATACTTCTGGGGAACAGGCTTATGAAGAAAGGGGGTATTTTCATTTTTTGCTTCATATATCTTTGTATATTTTAATTTTTTACAATGACCACATACACTGTATTAGTTTTCTACAATTCACATAACAAAACATCCTTTTACGTGTATAATTCTTGGTTTTTAGTATAGTCACAAAGTTGTGCAGTTATCAACCATTAATTCCAGATGTTTTATCACCCTAAAAAGAAACTCTAACCTTGTTAACAGTCACTCCTTAGTTTCCCATCTCAGTAGCTACTGGCAACCAGTAATCTGCCTTCCATCTCTTTGCATTTGTCCCTGGAAATTTCATAAAAATTGAATCCTATCATACGTGACCTTTTGTATCTGTCTTCTTAGTATAATGTTTTCAAGGTTCATCTACATTGTTCCAGTAATTCAATCCTTTCCATGGCTATACATTACTTGTATAAATAAGAAATCTATAAACAGTTCTGATTGCAAAAATACTCAGAAACACACATTACCTTCTGTACAAATCACTTTATAGAAACTCAAAGACAGATCTAAATCCAGTGTGCATATTATGGGATAGTTTATTTTTGTCTCACCACTCCTAACACTCTCTTAAATATCTAGTCTCTCAGGACCACTGAAAAAGCTACCCTCTCAAATAGTATTCTTCGTTTCCATGTATGTCTTTTTATTAGAATATTATGAATCATACCTCTTTGTTCAGCTGCCTTTTATTTTTCCCTATCCCCCTACACCAATCATAGTAAACATACCAACACAGAGATATAGGCAAAGTCATAAATTGAAAATTTTGTGGATCTGGTGTCTTCTGACAAGGAACCAGGGCTGGGGGATTGACTTTAGTACACTAACCATATACAGAACATGTCTCCTAAAGTAAAATTTTCAAATGCCATAAGCAACTTCACAGGAACTGGTACTTTCTAGTTTTTATCGTCCGAATAAAAATCAAGAATATATTTTTGTGAACCAGGCATGGTGGCACATGCCTATAACTCCAGCCATTCTGGAGGCGGAGGCAGGAGGATCATGAGTTCAAGCCTAGCCTGGGCAACTTACCACAACCCTAAGGAAAAAAGAAAGGCTGGGGATGAAGCTGAGCACTCCCTGGGTTCAATCCCCAGTGCTGAAAAAAAAAGAAAAACAATAGAAGAACACACGTTGGCCTTATATCCTTACTGTCCAGTTACCTTATTACCTGAACAAGGCAAAGTTATATAACATTAGTTGATATAAAAAAGAGTACTTTGCCTTCACAACTGAAGACTCTAAAACATAAATGGAAGAATGGTTTATTTTTTTCTTTAAAAAGATGGACTGGCCATTTTCTGGCCACTGAATTTTTCCAGGAAATTTTTTCAGGTTTATCCTTTGTAATGACCTTAGTAATTGCTAGGGACTGTGGCTGGAAAAACAATAAACCAACTGTCATAGTCTTTCTTTTTTTTTTTCTTCTGGTTCTGTTGAGACAAGGTCTTGCACTGTAATTTAGGCCGGCCTTAAGCTTACTATACAGCCCAGGCTGGCCTTGAACTTGCAGCAATCCTCCTGCGGCAGCCTCCCAAGTGCTGGGATTACAGGCGTGTGCCACCATGCCCAGCATTCAACTGCCACAGTTCTGATTTGCTAAAGAAAACCACATTAATTTGCCATGTCCATAGTTTTATTGGGGCAATTCAAATGAAACTCAGCAATGTATTTTAAATACACACATGCCCGCATGTACTAGGCACTACTCGGTAGAATTTGTGGTAAAAGCACACCACCCTATGTTCCAACATGGATCAGAACCTGTTGCTTGATATTCTCTTCCCCTCTGAGGAAGAATATGGATTAGGGATTGTGTATAAAATGAATGTATTCCATTAATTAAAGCTTCTTATGTGGTACCAGGGCTTGCCCTCAGGCCCTTTGCACTGAGCCCTATCCTCAACCCTTATAATTATATTTTTATTCTGAGACAGGGTCTCACTTCGTCACTAAGTAGTCTGGGCTGAGCTTGAACTTGCAGTCCTCTCGCCTCAGCTTCCCAGAGTGTTGGGATTATAGTCGTGCATCACCATGCCCAGCTCACTAATTAGAATTTTGATTTTTGCCCTGGATATGATAAACTGCAATACAGGAACACTGTACTAGCAGCAAGCTGTCCATGGTAATGGGAGTAAATGTTAAGTGTATAAAATGGAATCTCTTTCTGACGTATTAACCCTTCAATTCTGGTATCTATCAGATAAACTGCACAAGGAGTTTTGGTGTGTTGATTTTCAAAATCACTTTCTAACTAGGTTCCTAAAGACATGATTTAAGCTGTAGGTATCTGAACCATGTACTGAAAAAACCAAGATGTAATGCAATTCTATTGTAAATAAAAGACTGCCATTTATTGCCATAATAAAAAGTTTAATATTGTGAAACTTTGAACTGAATTCAAACTTTTTTTCCCATATTTGTTTTTGATTTCTACAAATTCTTAAATAAACTAGATATTTCACCTTGAAATAAAGCCAGACTAAAAGGAATATGATACTATTGCTATATTCAAATAAACTTCATTATACACTTCCACAAAAAAGGCATACAAATATCAAAGTCATAACTCATTTATTGAATGAATAGTATATGCAAGGATACCAATTAAAGGAAACTAATACTACAAACTACAATTTTGAAAATAAAGCCAATATAACAAGAACAAAATATACATAACATGAGAGGAATGTTTGATTTTTGACCCATGATGCATTCCTTATCTTCATAATTAATCTAAATGTCTGTTAAAACAAACTATACCTTGGTCTAACCTCAGTGCTTTTTAAAAAAGCAACAACACTCTAGAACACTTTTTCATTTGCTTTGAGATATTTGAAATTCATACATTTGTTCAAGTACATAGATTCTGATTCATTAGTAGATCGACAGATCTTGTTATTCTCTTAATATCTTGAATAGCTTGTACTTCTGAGCAAGTACTATCTGAAATTCTAAAATTGCTGATCCTTGGAATAAAATTCATTTCAGTTGTGGGTTTTTAATAAGTTGAGATGAATGTAAAAATCCCCCCCCCTCCCCCCAGGAACAAAGAGCTCTTATTAAAGTATAGAAACTCAAGTCTATCTTTCTATTCTAAAGAACATTTCTTACTAACATTTCTGGTAAGGCAATAAATGCTCCAGAATAATCTTCAATATATGCTTGCAAAGATTACACTGTTTAATATCAATAACAACAACAAAAAACAAAACAAAATGAAAAAACAAAGGAAAGAAAGAAAAGACACTTCAAAATTTTAGGCTAAAATATGCATAAAAGACAGTCATGGCAGTATTTTTTGGAAATGATGTAAATGTCATATACTTATCAAATAATGTCATGCTTATTAAAACTACAGTTAAGGACTTAAAAGATGCACAGTAAATACACTGCTGAGGTCCATTTCTCTAAATATTAATACCACAATGTAATTACTACCCAGAAGATGATGATGCTACTTGGGAACATAAGTACTGTACAATTTTTACATTGTAAGGCACTTTTACTCAGCATGTGATGAAAACATGGACAATCAAAATATTGTAGGTTTAAAACCAAAGGTAATTTTTCATGTGACTTCAATTCATATTTCAATTAATGAAAGATTATTCAGCCAATCACACCACAGTGAAAAAAAACATGTAGTCAGCCACTTATCTAGCCAACCAAAAGGTAAAGTGCTATTCTGGTTGCTAGTGGCAGGGAAAGAGCTGAAGAAACCCATACAAAATCATATATTTTACTACATAACAAATCCGTCAACTGACAGCTGTAGTATTTGAAGTCCATTATGTAATTATTGACTGGCCATGATTACCCCTGGCACCTTTCATTTTTCCTTAAAAAAATCATTACAGTAGTTGTCCAAAAATGAAGGAGCTCTCTTTCTCCATGGGTAAGTTCTATGGCACACAATATAAAAATGACCTAGACACAGTGATTTAAAGATTTAAGAAATAATGTTTTTTAAGCTGTTGTAAAGAATTAAAGTACAGATCCTTCGGGAAAAGTCACATAGCTTGGTAAACAAACATTTAGATCTGTCTTGCACTTCAAGTCATGAATTTTGAAAATTAATCACATACACATGATGATGGCATATTAAAAGCCAAGAGAAAACACAGAGGGCAATCCACTACGAAAGCCAGTTTCCTTCTAAAAATAACAATAAAGATGGCTAAAACAAAGCAAGCATTTAGTCCCTTGATTTAAGTATATGTGTGAATACACACTTGACAAACGTGTTTTTAAAGGGACTAGCAGTTAAAAACTTCAGTCACTAAGCACAGTGTAATTTTCCACCTGTTACATTTAAAAATGCTGTTCTATCAGCTGCAGAATCTCTCAATATACAGTCAAGTTAACATGATTTTTTTTTATTTGCAACTTTGCTTTATTGTGGTAGGCTAACTAACAGTTCAGAAATCAGAATCCCTACCCTTAGTATTGAGGTGCTATGGTAATATTAGATAGACCACAACTAAAGCTTTTTGGTTTTGCCATAAAGAAATACATAAATGTGCTTCAACAGTGAGTGGAAGAAAATATCACTAGCTAGAAATGCCAGTGTGAAAATCCTTTCTAAATAGCTGGGTTCTTAGGCTTTCAGAAGCTATTCTGATGATCAATAAAGCAACACCAAGCCCTACCAGGAAAAAAGCAGGGCACAAAAGCCTATTTAATAGATAACCAAACAATGATGGAAAACATTAAAAATATTAAATAAGTTTCTAAAATAGTGGTCACAAAATTAAAAATAAATACTGTTTTATGCAAAGACTGATTTTTACTTCTACAGCACACAAAACCTCCTTACATACTTTGGGCCAATATGTTAAGTGTTCCACACAACAGGGCACTTGAGAGGAACAGGTTTCAGATGTGGTGTCTAAATTTCTTAGCAGGTGGTAACCCCTTAAATCTGAAAGAGGTTTAATTTGCAGTTGCCAAATGTTGGTTTAAATTTGAAAGGATTCGATCATTTTGCCAGAAGCTCTTTATATAACATGGAAAGAGAAGAAGTGTATTGTCATGAGAATTTTGGCATAAGCACTGGAGCTCACAGCTCATGATCGCCAGTGCCCACGTCCACACTGGTCAGTGAGAACAACTCTGACGGGAACCAAATGAAAAGCTTCAGCACACTTCTTGGAAGAGACTTTTAGCATGTGCTTTCAAAGCTAAGATAAAAAGGTTCCCTTCATTTCTAGCCTCCATTACTTGAGTGTGAAAAAAAATCCACAAATTACCATGTGTTGCCACCAGCGGTATGTCTGCATTGTAAAGTAAAATTTGCTTACGTTTCCCTTGAGCATGATTCACTAAACAAACTTAAATACTCTAAACAGTAGAACTTTGTTCAGTCCAGAAATATAGCTTACTTCATTCCAATGTCTGCTTTAACTGTTGACACTATACACGGGGTTAATAGTGTTTCAATTGCTTCCCAGAAACTGCAAACTACAGCTACATAATAGCAATATGTCAAACTCAGCGTCTAGAGAAGATTCATAAACAAGATGTTTTTAGGCAGTTCAATGAAGGATCTAAGAGTTGGGCAGTAAAAAGTTACAAACCCTTTTAGAAAACAGTGAAAAAAGAATAGTAGTTATGGATGTCTTATTCATTCCCAGTTTTCTAACTGTCCCATGAACCTGTTTAAAAGATGATAAGAAAATGTAAAATATGATGCTTGAGGGGAACACAATCAACATAATGTTATTGAGGAGTGAGAATATCTTCTTGATTCGACATTGTAACTACATTTATTGATAAAGTAGATAGCTTGTTTTTACGGTTACAAAGCTGGCTAGTTTTTTTTTAAAAAAAACAACAAAACTACACAAGCCTATATAACCTCAGCATTCCGGTAACATGCTCTTAACTAAACACATTAGGATTAAAAAAATCTTACTGCATACCATTACTTCGTTATGTATTTATCAGTGGATATTATATCCTGACAACAGATCCTATATAATTAACATTCATACCTAGTTTCCGTTAAGTTGCTGCTGAGTTTGTTGCTGATCAATTTCTACTTTTCCTCGGCTTTTACTCTCTCGTTCCTCATCTTCTTCATCTCTCTCATCATTTCCACTATGGTTTTTACAATATAGTCTACAATGATGAAAGATACGGTTGATGAGAATACATCTATGTTATCATTAGCAGATGAGACTGGTGCCCATATAAAATATGGGTTTCCTCATTCACACTTGGAAACACCCACAATTAATTACAGGTCCACTTCTATCTAAAAGATAGGAAAGCATACTGTTACTGAGATAACGGAAGTTCATCGGAATAAAATCTGTAGTTAAGGATGGCAGCTATCATAAAAACAACTCCTCATTTTGCCCAACAAGATTAAAGCCAGGTTTTTTGGCCAACTTAAAATACCAACATTTGGAGTACAGGCAAAATAATAAAATTCTATAAATTCTCTTTATATATAATTTACAATCAGATTTCAAGAAATATATTCTATATATACTGTTACTTGCCGTTCACATTCTGCGAAACAAGGTTACTCAACTTCTTCAAATGCCCTTTCATCATTAGTGTTCTGGCCTTCTCTAGAATATATTCCTTCACAAAGCACCCACATTGCCCCAAATTGTATTCGGCTCTGTCTCTCTCAATCTAGACTGGTCCCGGGGCCGGGGATTTAGCTCAGTGGTGCCGCGCCTGCCTGGCAAGCACAAGGTCCTGAGTTCGATCCCCAGTACCTCCCCCCTAAAAAGGAATAAATGAACAACTGAATAGTAGACTGGTCCCTCCAACTTCTATTTGTCTCTTGATACTAACTTTTTGGATGGGATCCGTCCAGATAGCTTACAATTGTACCACATTGTGGATTTTCTAGTACTGTTTTGTTTCTCCCCCCATATTTTGTACAAACTGGGAATAAGGCCTAAGGGCTTGGTTAGCTTTAGGTTCAACTTACATGTAATTTCAGACTGGCCCATTATTAGTGAGCCTATGCTTGATCAGTTGGTTAAGGTGGTGGTGATAGCCAGATTTTGCCACTGAAAAGGGAGTCTTTCTCCTTTAAAACTAGAAAGGGATTCCCAGAGTGATTCTTTGACAAATGCTTTTCCAACAACCTTCTATTTGAGTATATATGCTGTATTGTTGAAATTCATTAAGATTTTAATAAAAATAGTAATGTAGGTGATTTGGGATAATCAGAAAAAGGTGGGCTGATTTGAACTCATGTTAGGTTAATTACACACAGGATGATGGAACAACCCTTAGAAAATGTTCACTGTCTGGCCTCTTGTGGTCAATATTGGATAAAAGACTATACAGGAATTCACAAGTCACAAATACACAGTGTTTACACTGTGTAAACATTTGAGTACATGTAAGTGTAACATTTGAGTACAATAAAAGGCAAAAGTGAGGTTGGGGGTTCAACAATAACAATTGACTTCAATCTAGTTTTGCTGATTATTTAACAGACTTGAAACATTTTTATTAGCTTTCAAAGATCTATGGAGAATTATGTTGCACACTGGGAACTATCTTTAAAAAAAATCATGATTTTAAATATCAAGAGATTCCTATACAGTGTTACCTATGAAGCATCTTCTCCAAAATACAGCCTGGATCAAATCAAGCCTTTGAACCAACTTAAAGTTTATATAAAATATGGGAAGAAGTTTAAAGATACAAGTTAAATGGCATCATGAAATAGCAAACTGACAAGTCCAGAATGTGAGAAAGAACAACTTATTGGGGTGCTTCAAGGAGGAGAAAGATAGGAGTGGGGTGGGGATGGTTCCATTTTAAGACAGATTTAAGGAATGGCAAATACAGCGGAGGGTTCTCATGAATATTCAGATTTGAATATATCAAGTCTAAAAAGGCATTTGTAAGCCAACTGAGGAAATGTAGAAATGGACTGGGTATGAGACGATGTTAAGAAATAACTATTCACATTATAACATGTCATTAATGGGATAATGATTATGTAAGAAATACCTATTTTGGGGGGGTGGTACTAGGGATTGAACCCTGGGCCTTTTCACTGAGCTACAAGCCTGGGCCATTTAAGAATTATTTTTTTTTATTTTGAGACAGTCATGCTACATTGCTAAGCTGCTCAGGGTGGGCTTGAACTTGTGATCCTCCCGCCTCAGGCTCCCAGAGTGCTAGGATTACAGGCACGTGCCACAACACCCGGAAAAGAAATATCTGTATTTCTAAGAGATGCATATTGAAGCATACAGGGACAAAATGACAAGAGATTTTGCTTTAACATACTTTCGGGGTGAAAACATGGTATATGAAACAACTGTGGAACTAACTAGGTAAACCATGATTGGGAAAGTTATGCTACTCTATTTTTGCATATATTTGGAAGTCTTTTTAATAAAAAGTTTCATCTAAAAGGACAAGTCTTTTGTTTTTTTTAATTTATTTTTTATTTTTTTTACAAGTCTTTTATTGTCAGAACAAATTTTAATCTTTTTATGGAATTTTCATTTGTGAAATATCTCCCATAGTCCCTTATATGCCCTTCATTTGTCTAGGCACCAAGGTCAACTAAGCAAACAAAGATCCCTGTAACAGAACTCACATTTTATGGTTGGAGAATGACATTTTAGAAATTTATATTAAATAATTCAAAAATTCAATAAAGACAAAAATCAGGGTAAACAAAAATAAAATTTATTATATACTCTCGTCTTCCTTTTTTTTTTTTGGTACCAGGGACCGAACTCAGGACCTTGTGCTTGGGAGGCAGGCGGTGGAACCACTGAGCTAAATCCCCAGCCTGGAAAGTCATATTTAGAAGACAGGGAAGCCACGACATTCAGAAACGTTCCTCCTTATATTTCCTCCTATTTGTTGGTTCCTTTCTCCCCAAATTATTTGCATGTAGACTCTCATTTGAATTCAATGGTCTCTATCTGCAAGCCACATTACAAGCAGATTTAAGAAATACATTTTTATTATTATTTTGTATTTTAGAGACAGAGTCTCACTATGTTGCCCAAGTTGGCCTCATACTTACTATGTACCCCAGGGTGGCCTTAAACTCATGATCCTCCTACCTCAGACTCCTGAGTGCTGCGATTATGGTGTGCACCACCACACCCAGTCTAAGAAAAGACATTTTGATGTAGAAAATAAAAAGAGCAATTCAAATCATCATAGATCCTAGTACAAATATTTGTATTCAGAGATTGTCACTGAAACATTTTTTTTAACACTTAAAAAGTAAAATCAGGGCTGGGGATTTAGCTTAGTGGTTTCGCAGCCTGCTGCGAAACCGCAAGGACGCAAGTTCGATCCCCGGTACCAAAAAAAAAAAGTAAAATCAACCCAAAGGTCTAAAATAAGAAAAAACAGATTATGCAACAGTATATATAAGAAAATCCTGCCAGGCATGGTGGAGCATGCCTGTAATCCCACCATTCAGGAAGCTGAGGCAGGAGAATCACAAGTTCAAGGCCAGCCTGGGCTACACAGCAAGATCCTGTCTCAAAAAAAAATCTTTTTTAAATTTCTATTTTTATAAATTTATACAAATGTCTAGAAGAAATATTCCAAAAGATTTAAAATTGGAATCTCAGGTGGTGGAATTAAAGTTGACACTTTTGTTGGTTTGTTTTGAGACAGGGTATCACTATGCAGCCTAGGCTGCCCCTGAACTCTTGATCTTCCTGCCTCAGCCTCGAAAGTGCTGAGATTACAGGCATGCACCAGCATGCCAGGCTAATTTTTTTCTTTCATCACAAGTTCATGGATAGAAGTTTCTTTGTTTGGTTTGTTTCGTTTTGTTTTGAGTACCAGGGATTGAACTCAGGACCTTGCACTTGCCAGGCAGACGCAGTGCTGCTGAGCTACATCCTCGGCCCCGCCTGGCTAACCTTTGAATCTTTTCTAATTTTCCAGATTTTCCAAAATGAAAAAAAAGATAACTATAATATCTAAATAAAGGTAAAAATAAATAAATAAATAAAGGTAAAATTTAATGCAATAATTTTTCACATAATCAGACTGTACATGTTTAAAATGGACTTATTTTCAAATAATGGCTAATAATGCACTGTTTATGAAAATATCCACACACCACTGAAATGTCTAATGGGGAGTATGAAAACTGCCTCTTCTCTTGCATCCTTACACAACTGACAGCTGGTAATAACACTGAGTTTGTTTCTAGAGCTCTTCCTACAGACACAGCCACACACACATATGTGGAAGGGCATCCCAAGAAAGAGTAGAGCGATGGTGGGTCACCTGGGTCCCTGATGACACTGACAAACTGTGTCCCACATCTCGACTCTTTTCCTCTGCGTGCCTTTATGTAAGGAACAACTCTATCTTGTGTAAGCTATTTTCCCCAATATACAAGGAACACATAATCATTACAAGTAGAAAATTACACCATGTTTGCTCTTCTAGATAAAATTGTCAAAAATTTTGGATTTGATTAAAATTATATTAAATTTATAGATTAATTTGGTGAGAATAGGCATCCTTTAGTGCTGAATCATTCTATTAAGGAACATAATATATTTCACCATTCTTCTGTGTCTTGTAAAATACATTTTTTAAAAGAAGTTAAAGGTTCATTGTGTGTGTGTGTGTGTGTGTGTGTGTGTGTGTGTGTGTGAGCATGTGTACATATGCAGGCAGGGAGAGGGGGTGACCATTTTCCCTTTACATATTCTAACCAGTTATCTTTATTTTCATTATTTATTTATTTGGGTTTTTTGAGACAGGGTCTCCCTATGTAGTTCAGGCTGGCCTTGAACTCACTATTGTAGCTCAGGCTGGCCTTGAACTCATGGTGACCCTCCTGCCTCAGCCTCCCAAGTGTTGGGACTACAGGCATGCGCCACCACACCTGGCTACTAACCAGTTTTTCTTTTTTTTTTGTACCAGGGATCGAACTCAGGACCTTGCGCTTGCAAGGCAGGCAGCGGCACCACTGAGCTAAATCCCTGGCCCAACCAGTTATTTATTTATTTATTTACTTTGGTACCAGAGATCGAACTCGGGTCCTTGTGCTTGCGAGGCAGGCGCGGAACCACTGAGCTAAATCCCTGGCTCAACCAGTTATTTTTAAAAGTCATATTCCACTGCATAACCCAGTGCTCATTAATTTTAGTAAGTTCAGAGTTGATTCCTTTGCATTTTCTTGGTAATGACACCACTAACAATGTTCATCATTTTATTTATTATATACTTTTCTTTTTTTATTGATGGGAATGGACCCCAGGGCCTCCTGAGTGTTAGACAAGTTCTCTGCCACTGAGCTGCACCCCCAGCCTGCCCTTTTTTTTCTTGTTTCATCAGCTTAACCTTCCAAAAGAACACTGGAAATCATGTTAGTAGCTGGGTGTTCTTCATCTGAATGAAAATGTATTTAGTCTAATGGCTTAGTGACAGATGAACATGAGAATTACTGGTGGCTCAACCCAGACCTACTGAATTAATTAATTAATTAATTTATTTATTTATTTTTGGTACCCGAGATCAAACTCGAGTCCTTGCACTTACAAAGCAGGCGGCGAAACCACTGAGCTAAATCCCCGGCCCGAGACCTACTGAATTTAAATCTCTATGGGTGAGGCCTAAGCATGGACATTTTCAGAGCCAACTACCCCAGGGGATTCTGGGGCTCACTCTTGGTTAAGAACCAATGCTGCTTTAGTTCAATATTAAATAAACTATTTCTGTTTTCTCTTAAACACCCACTATGTTTCCTAGCTTGCCAGGCATGATGCTGGCACATGCCTGTAATCCTAAATACTCCAGAGGCTGAAGCAAGATCACAAGTTCAAGTCTTGCCTGAGCAATTTAGTGAGACTGTTTCTAAATAAAGAAAAAGTGTAGAAATTTTTTTTCTTTATTAACTTCAAAAGACAACATTAACATATTTCCTAATTTTGAAGATCTTTAAATTCTTGGATTACAGAGCTGGATTTGATTTGCCAGTATTTTATTTAGATTTTTGTACATTTATTTATAAAAGTGAGACTAGCCTAGAGTTTGTTCTTTTATCTTTGTCAAGTTTGGTATCACAAATATGCATGCTTTATAGAATAAGCCAAGATTTCCATCTCGTTCTACGTGCTAGACCTCTTCAGGTACTTTATATTGGAATTATCTGTTCCTTAAAAACTTGATAGAACTCTCTTGAAAAATATTTGTGCCTTTAAAATTAAACATAATTTGGTAAATTTTATAACAGCACTAGTACCTTATGCAGGTACCCAAATGATTTGACGACTGTTTGGGTAAACTGCTTTTCACACAGACTAGACCCCGAAGTTACTGGTTTACTGTATACTAGGCATGTGAGAATATGGAAATGCTTTACCACTTTTGAAGGCCAATTAAAATTAAGAGAGCCTTACCATATTATACTCCACTTGATTAATCAAATGGAACTATTATATTTATTTTAACACTAGCCCAAGGAAGCACAGTAAGTGGAAGAACCATGAAAAGGTCAGTGACATGCAATCCTAAAACGCCACTCTTTTTTGTGATGCTGGGGGTCAAACTCAGAGCCTTATACATGCTAGAGAAGTGATCTACCACTGAGCTATACCTCCAGCATCTTCAAATCCTACACTTTCACCATCCCTCTGGGACGATCTCTCTTGGTTTCTACCTTCACAAATGTCTCCTAACTCATCTCTTTATGTCCCCTTTGTTTCTTTCCTAAAGATCTTGTGCATGCTGCGTGCTCTTCTCTGCCTAGAACACCTCCTCTGAGTTCACCTCTGCCCTTCCTATTTCAGCTCTAGCACTATTGCCTTCAGAAAATTCTTAAACATTCCACTACAGACTAGGTTAGCTCTTCCTGTTTTTAGTGCCTCACAGCGCTTTGTAACATCTTTAGAGTGCTTATGTAGTTTGTAATCATGTATTTACTTGCCTGACCATTTAATTAATGGTCTCTCCTGAAAGACTGCATGCTTCATGAGGACACAGTCTGTCGGTTCCGTACGCTCAGGCCCTAGCACAATGCCTGGCACAGGTAAACATAATACTGGATGAACAAATGCTAATCCAGGGCCATGTAGGAAGAAGCAAATGTTGATCACAGTTCTCACACCTTGTATGATAGCCTCAGTACTCTACACTTGACTAAACACCACCTAAGAATAGCTATCAAGTAAACTAGTGTCATCTATTAAGGGGAGTTACTTATGGACAATTTTAGGAAAATGGACAATTGTTTTCTTACTTGTAAATTCCCCGTGACATATTTTCAATGTATTTAGCTTTGTCTTGTACTCCACAGTGGTAATGGTAGGTCTTCACACAGGCTTTTATTTCACATCCAATAGTAGCACCAGGCTGACTGCAAAGTGTACATTTCTGTTTAAAGAAAGAAAAATAATGATCATAAGCCACTTTTCAGAGTTTAGGCAATCTTTTTTATTGTTGCTGTTGTTTGAGACAGGGTCTCCCTATGTAGTTCAGGCTGGCTTTGAACTCACTATGTAGCCCAGGTTGGCCTCAAACTCACAGTGATTCTCCCGCCTCAGCCTCTCAAGTGCTGGGATTACAAGCCCAGCCAGGTAATATTATCTATTTTATTCATATTTCAGCCAAACATTTAAGTTTACAAAGCAAATAGCAGCCACTTTCTATTTTTAAAAAGGAATACACAGAACTCATTACACGGCACATAATTAAAATAATGCTATAGCTAGCCACAGTTGTGTGTATCCGTAGTCCCACCTATTCAGAATGCTGAGGCAGGAGGATCACTTGAGCCCAGAAAACCCCATCTCAAAACAAAATAAGCTGGGCATGGTGGCACACGCTTATAATCTCAGCACTCAGGAGGCTCAGGCAGGAGGATCACTGAGAGTTTGAGGGCAGCCTGGGCTACACAGTGAGTCCAAGGCTAGCCTGCACTATAAAGCAAGACCCTGTCTCAAAAAAACAAATAATAATAATAATGTTAACGCTGTAACTTAAACCATACTTTGGTGAACCTTCTGAAGTCATCCCCCGATGTTTCTATTACTTAACATTTATAAACTGCCAGGGTGTTAGAAAAAACATTCTAGCCAGGAGAGATCTGACATCTAAGTACTGTAGAGAGAAGACACTCCTTGATAATGTCAAAACCAAAAAGAATAATACTGCATATTTCAGTGGTTTGACTTCTTTTCTTCTCCAAATCAGATCCTCTCTTATTCTGACTAGGGGAAAGAATGAGAAAACAAAAAAGCAATCCCCTTAGAGAAAGGTCATTACCAAGGAGGCAAAGGACAGTGGGAGACTAAAGGATGTGAAATCTTTTGAGACTTCCCAGTTTGGCCTACATCAGCCTCACCTAAAGAATGATCTGAGATGAAAAGGTACCTAGTGAAAAAAAGGATTTCAGAATCAATCTGTTAGAAAAATATCAGGTTATAGACAGATTGCTTTATTGTACAACTTCTGATAGCCTTTTCTCCAGGAAGAAGTATACAGTAAACAGTTTTCAAATTTACTGAATTCTAAATGCTCTTTTATTTTTGGAGCATTGTGGGAGTATCCTGATAGATTAATTTCCTTTGGAGCACACATCTGAGAAATGCTAGAAGTGCAGAGATGAACAATAAACTGATCAAGAGGGTTGGCTGAACTGCTGGGCTGGGCATGGTGGCGCACACCTGTAATCCCAGCACCTGGGAGCCTGAGGCAGGAGGACTGCTGAGAGTTCAAGGCCAGCCTGGGCTACATAGTGAGTTCAAGGCCAGGCTGAACTACATATCGAGACCCTGTCTCAAAAAACAAAAACAACAAAAAAGAGCTGAATTGTTGTCCTACTCACCTAATTGAATGTTAGTTGTATGATACATTTCTGCATCATAGAATAAATGATTTTCCCCCTTTTTCAGTACTACAGGTTGTTTTTTAAAGTTTCATTTTAAAAAGAGTAATCAAAGTATGGATATACTGAACTAGATCAAAATGGAAAAGAATGTTCACACTTTAAAATAGGAAGTTCTTAGAAGAAAGGGTCATTTCTCCTGGAGTCAAAGATGATAAATGTCTGAAAACATGACATGAGACTGAAGGAGAACTTCACAATCAAGGGGTCAGATCCCACCTGCATCCAAAGATCAGCCATTATTATCTATCTGCTATGCTACAATACAGTTGAAACTGAATCTAAGTAAGCCTGTACATGTAATTCTCACTTTAAATGGAAATATGGGGATAGAGAGACAAGTTAAATAGTATTATGAGAAAGGAAACAATACTAGGACATTCTACAGGACAATTAACTCATTTTCTTCAACAAGTCAGTAGCATAAAAAATGCGACCAAGAGAGGGTGAAAGGCCTGTGCTGTATTAAATAAGGGATATACTATATGAGAACCAAATGTATAGTCTTCCTTTGGGATCCAACTCAAATAAATCAACCTTACAGTTTTGAGACAGTTGAGGAAATACAAATATGAATTGGTAACTATTAACTTATAAGGTGTGTTATGTTGTTGTTAGGTAAAAAAATGTCCAATTAGGAGATGTATACTGAAGTATGTAGAGGTGAAAGGTATGAAGTATGGGCTCTGCTTTAAAATACTTCAGGGCCAGGGATTTAGCTCAGTGGTTCCACTGCCTGCCTTGCAAGTGCAAGGACCCGAGTTCGATCCCCGATACCAAAAAAATAAATAAATAAAATACTTCAAACAATAAGAATTAAAGGCATAGATGAAATAAGTGAGGCAATTACTTGGTAACTGCTGGATCGGGGTGATGGGTAGATGTGTTACTAGTCTTTCTTTATTTGATGTTTCAAAATTTCCTGAACAAAATATTGAAAAATTAAAAGTCATTCATTTCTAGAGATGACTGCTGTCTCAAAGAAAAGACTTTGCATTCCACTGACATTCTACATTCATAAAGGAATAATTAATAGAAGACACCAGTATTTTTTGAAGCTTATTAGTAATTCGGTATGTTTAAAAACATGAGACTAAAAATACATTTTATTAAAGGAAACTTTACAGTTATAATTAACATTTTAAGAGACATAACTGTTTATATGTAATTTAAACAAAAGACCCTAAAAACTTTTCTTTTTATTAAAACAAAAAGAATTAACAATATTGGGTGGTTCTCAATGCTGCATTAGGCTTATGGAATTTTTCTGTAAGTTTATACAATGTAACATTTTAAACTTTATGAGCTTTGTCACATCCATATCTTCACTTATTTTATTGAGTACTTGCAAATACCTTGAAATATAAACCTTTTTGTATAATTTTCTTAAGAAATGAAGGTGCATAGAAAGAGGAATACGTTTCAGTAAGATGAGCATCCTTTATTATATTACATGTAAGTCAAATATATACCTTGTTTTAACATATGAACTACTTTATACTTAATTCCCTGATGATTGGATGTATTTGAGATACGCTGTAAGTAGAGAATCAAGAGTAATGTGGCATAACACAAATATAAAAATCACAGACCATTCTTTTTCCTCGCTTAATCTCCTGAAGTACAGTTTTAATATCAAAATCTCCAAACTCTGCTCTTGATGTTGTCGTGAGCTGGACTGTGCCAGAAGAAAACAACTAGAGAGGAAAAATGCAGAAATATTACCGCTCAGAGTCCTTATGAGAAAAAGAGTAAAAAGGATCATAACAAACATGTTATACTGCTTTAATTTCCAGAGCAAAACATACTCTTCAATAATAGGTACCAAATATTTTAGTATATTCATATCTGATTAAAATATAACCCGAAATAAGAACACTGGGGGAAAAACCCAAGATTGCCAGTGTACAGCCAAGATTAAATACTCTGCTTCAAATAATGAAGATTTCAATAATATCACCCTGTTGTCAACTGTTTTACATTTCCATAAAGTTTCAAAAAATAGTTTGAATAGCAAATTTCAACCAGAGATGTAGACGAGGATCTCCTGTGTTTTTTGTTTCTTTTCACAACAGACATGTCTGGAATGTACTCCGTGGGGGTCCTAGACACAAATATTTTGGAAGAAACTTCCCAGGTAAATCTTACATGCACCTTAGTCAAAACTTTTGATGTAAACACTTTTAAAAACCTACTCATAAATGGGATGAATAATTTAATACAATATAACTCAAAAAAATTTTTGTACTCTAAGTCAGGCATGGATTTAAGGATGCAAAGATAAAAACAACTTCATCTTATTCTTATCTTCAAGGAATTTAAGGGTCTATTATGCTGCTTTTTTTTTTTTTTTTTTGGTACCGGGGATCGAACTTGGGACCTTGCGTTTGCGAGGCAGGTGCCAGAACCACTGAGCTAAATCCTCAGCTTAAGGGTCTATTATGGAAGGTTAGTTCAACAGTAGATAATTGCAACACAGTACACTAAGCACAATAATAATGGTATTTATTATAGCAGAGGCCTGAAATACCTTTCATGACATATTTATAGAGATGAAATTCTTACAGCTGTGAAATAATTATTAATAATCACAGCCAGCCTGATGGATTACATTGAATATGATAACAATGATTAGCATTACTTCAAATCCTACTAAAATATAAAGGCTATTTTTTCAAAGTCTGAAGTTTATAGGATATTACTATTCATAAGTGAAACACTATTTCTAGGGGAAAATTACTATTTGGTTACTAGTTAAATTTTCAAAAACTCTTGGCTTAAAAGCACATAAGAAGAACCATACTTACCATACACTTATAATGTGCAGCTGCCTTCTTGGCATTAAATATATGCAGTTTTCCTCTTGCTTCATTTTCTTCCTCCCCTACATGACAAAATCCACATTTAGGCCTGGTGTCACTGGGGCTGCTTCTGTGTGGAGACCTATCTCTCTGCAAATGGAAAAGGAAAAAAAAAGCACTTTAAAAATGCTATTAGTATTTCAAGCTTATTTAACATTTCAAATGATAAACCCTACCTATAAACACAGTTTAAATGAAATATTCATGATGTAACAAAAACTAAGCATCCAATAGTTTCCTACTTACATAGGAACTACTTTCTATTTCATCTGTTCCATGGGAGGATGTGGACCTGGTATCTTCCGATAGTCCTTTAAAATTAGTTTTTCTCGGTCTTCCTTTGCGACTTTTCTTTTTACTTTTTGGGGATGAGGGCTCCAGTTCACGTTCATTAAAACTTTCTTCTAAATCAGCTGCTTAAAAATGAACAAAAGCTTTATATGGACCAATCTTAAAAGGGGCATTAGTTTAGCAGTCCATAGGACACAGGTTTTCCTTATAATTAAATCACTAGAAATGAGGCAAAATGGTCTGTGTTATAATCAACACTGCAACCTAATGTTTCAGACAAATGTAACAAAAATAAAATATAAAAATATAGTATTACAATCACAGTAACCTTAATTATTTCCTTTGACTTGCAATTTTGTAAAAGTGAATTTTGTGATCTTGATTGTATAATTTTACTTTATTTTTTATTTTTCAGAGACAGGGTCTCCCTAAGTAGCACAGACTGGCCTCAAACTTGAGATTGTCCTGTCTCAGACTCCTGAGCGCTGAGATTACAGGTGTGTGCCACCCCACTGACTTGCTTTCAAATATTTTAAAGTAATTTATAATAAAAGGAAAACCAGTCTCTCAGTCACACTGACCACATTTCAGGAGCTTATCAGCCACATGTGACTAGGTACAACAGTACTGAGCTGCACAGATATGGACTGCTTCCATCACTGCAGAAAAGCACTGATCTGGACAGCTCTTTAATCATCATGAAAATTGAATGAACAAATTCAAAAAGGATGTCATCTGTAGTTGAACTGATCAAGTAGTTAAACAAATATTAAGTATAAAAGGAGTTTCTAACACAAGGGGCAGAAAAGAAATGTTCCAAGTTAGTTGTGTATACTTTAATGGATTGAAAAAAATTTATGTGTAAACTTCAGAATTATATTGCCCAGCAATTTGAAAATAATTTCTAGCACTACTGGAAGCTATTTCATTCAATTAGTAACTACAAATATTTATTAAGGGTCTACTGTACATAGACAATGTATTTAAGTTTTCAAAAAGGTATAAAAACTGAATTCTTACTAATCTTAGGGTGAAATCATAAAAGTTTTAGGGATAGCCATCTAAGTGCCTTCCTTTGTTTTTCCTTTATCATATTATTGATTGTAATTCTAGAGACTAATTTCTCAACAAAACAGCACATCAACTCCTCTCAAATGCTAATGTCTGCCTGCCTGCCTGTCTGTCTGTCTATTTATTGGCAGTACTGGGTATTGAACCCATGGTCTTCATTCTGAGCTACAGCCCCAGCCCTTTTAAAATAAATTATTTTGAGACAGAGTCTCATGAAGTCACTAAGCTGTCCACGCTGGACTCAAACACAAAAGCCTCCTGCCTCAGTCTCCCAGAGTGCTGATATTACTTGAAATGATTTTCTTTTAGAAATAAAAGCACTTAGATTATGGTAAGAAAAAGGCAATTCAATTAGTATACTTGAATATATGTAAAAACTCAGGGGAATTGGAAGTATTAGACTGTTTGCAAAACAGTTCAGTTATATGAATGGAACATCACATAACTATGATGGGGTTGGAGGGATTTAAGGGGAGGAGGTGTAAGTTATTGGACAATGATTTATAGGGAACAAGATAAATTAATGTGAATAACTCTTCCTATTCAGACAGACACTACACTTAATCTTAGCCAAAAGGCTGAGAAGCAATTCCTATTCAGACAGAAAACTAAACATATTCCCTGACCATAACACTACAGCAAATTGCATATCAAAGCATACTATACACTTTCAATATTCAAAGTGACATTGTTTAAGACATGGAATGTCATTAAAGCTATTAGAATTACATACACTTGCCAAAAAGTAAAAAAAAAGTCTTAAAATGAAAAATCACAGCCAAATGTTTAAATTTTTGAGATATATTTGTATCTATATAAAACATTTCAGTTGTGAGCATATACAATGGTAACTCAGTTCACGAACAGTTTTGCTTGCAAACAATTTGGTTCACAAACAGAAGTGTTTAGCACAATTTTGTTTGCAAACTCTGCACTGGGTGACAAACACAACCGTGGCCAACTTTCCCATACAAACACAAATGTGGCCACCTTTTCCAAAATCGTAGAACAAATTAAGTTCATGAACTGAGGTACCACTACACATGTAACATTTCATTATCTATAATAAAAAAAATTACTAATACCATAACACTACATTATTAAACATCTAAAAGAAATTACATAAAAACCGATTCTATTAGCAGCACACAAGACTAGTTTTCCACATGACAGATTTCTCCTAAATATGGAATCAAGTAACCCAAAAATTTGGGGGACTTTAACAGCAATAGCAAAAGTAAGATTTAACTGCGATTTTCAAATTTCTGGAAAGTAAAAAGAATAATGGTGAATCAAAGGGCAAACAATAAATTAGAGTAGTATTTCCTATATTGTGATAGATTATTATTCTTATATAAATTCATATACAATTAAGACCCCAGTGGAAAATGGATCAAGGAGGTGATGAGAAAATTCACCAAATATATATAGTTAATAAACATATTTCTAAAATATTAGATTTCTGCCAGGTATGGCAGCACACACCTGTCCCACCTACTTTGGGAGGCTGAGGCAGGAGGATCAAAATGTTGAGATCAGTCAAGGCAACTTAGCAAGACCCTGTCTCAAAATTGAAAAAATTAAGAGCTGGGGATGTAGCTCAGTAGTAGAGTGCCTGCCTAGCATTTGAGAGGCCCTGGGTTCAATCTTCAGTACCAGAAAGCAATTTAATTTCCCTAGAATCAAAGTGCAAATTAAATGATATATTATTTACACCTATCAAAACAACAGACTTTAAATAGTTAACAGAAACTACAACAAACTCCACAAAATTGTATTAGAAGTAAAAATATAAAAGAAGTCTTCTCTAAATGGAGGGCAGACCATGCTTCTACATAAACAGGATCAACATTAGAAAACAAGTTCTTGCTAATCTAATTTAATATAAAATGGAACTTTAAGATGATTCTATAGTTTTCTGGAAAAGTAAATGAACAAGGATACAAAAAAATATTTTTTGAAAAAATATCAAGTATACTATACAGCAACAGCAGTTAAAGTACTGGCATGAGAACAATAAGCTTGAAAACAGATCAAGTGGATGAGAAGGGTTAAGTTTGAAACCAGACCAAAAAGTATTTGCGAATTGAGAATAAGATAATGGCAGCATTTCAGATGAGTGGGGAAAAGACAAGATGGCACTACTGGCTATTTTTTTCCTCATACTCTATGAGAAAAATTAGAGATGGACTTAAAAACCTAAACATTAAATGATAAATGTAATCGAAGAAAACAGACATTTTTTTTTTAATACTTTTGGGGTTGGGACACATAAGTAGCCATAAAAGAAAAGAGAGTTGTAACTAACAATAAGTAGCTTTTGCACAGCAAAAGGCACCACAAGCTAAGTTAAAAGACAAACTGAACTGAGAATACTCAGCAACACAAACAGCAACAACAAAAAGACAACTTAGCAATCTCAGAGACTGCCTATAATTCAACTTTTCAAAGATAAACCTCCAAGAGAAAAAATACAAAAAGGACAGAAATCGGTAATTCATAAGAGAAATAAATAATGACAAAAATATGAACAAAAGCCCAACCTTACTAGTGGTGAAAGAAATGAAAATTAAATGACATCATCGGATTGGCAAAAATTAAAGACTGAAAATATTAAACATTTAAGACTGACACTGCTGGTGGTAGCATAAACTGAGTAAATGGTTTCTGAAGCAATGTAACAGTACTTATTCATAATGTTTAAAGCACAGAACCTTTGACCTGGCAGCCTCATTTCTAGGACTTTAACCTATAGTCATATGTATTAAGTACATACATGTATTTTCTTTCTTTTTTCATACATATATTTTCACAGGGAAGATCATTGCAGTATTATTTGTAACCATGGAAAAATAGACATAGCCTATTTTTATTAATAAATCCTGAAAGCATAATTTTATATATTCTATGGAATATAACTTCAAAATGAGGTACATCTCTATGCTGTCAAGGAAGGTCTGTAATATATCACAGAATGAAAAGAGCAAGTTGCTGTATATATGGTATGATGTGACTACATTAAAAAGTGTATGACTGCATATATGTGTAAATCTGTATGTCAAAATGGCTCTGGAAAGATATGTGTACACCAAGTTATTATTCTGATTATTCCTTGGGATGGTTTCTATCTAGATGTCCCCCAAGAGAATCATGCACTCATAGGCGGGGCTTTCAGAAGGTGACTGGATTATGGGGGCTCATAATGGATTTGCTGTTAGGTGGTGTCAGGTATTATGTCTCAGTGCTGAGGAAAGTGACTAAGACACTCCTAGAGATGTGATTTGATGTGAGGAAAGAGCTCTTTGAACTGATTTGAACAGTACTTTTGTACTATTTAATTTTTTTGTAGTGCTGGATGGAACCCAGAGCCTCATGCATCCCAGCCAAGTGTTCTACCTCTGAGCTATATACCCAGTCTAATTTTTTAAAACAATGAGTATTATGCTACTTTTATAAGAATGTACAGTATCCAGTGTGGTGAGGGGGGTTGGATGTCCATTCATCACTGATGAGAATATAACCTAGCACAGTATTTTTAGAAAGTAATACGGCAACATGTATCAGGGTCAAAAGGTTAAAAAAGTTAAACTTTTTGTTTAAAAAGGGTACATTCTGTACCCTTTGACCCATTTATTTTAGTTACAGGAATTTATCTTAAAAATTGAAAATGCACATGAGGATGTGAAGACAAAGTTAGACATAGCACTTCTGTTTAAATTTTTCATGATTACAACCTACAGCATTTTCCTCACCAATTCAAAATTGCAAAGTGTTTTAACATTTAAAATATATATTCTTTCTTTTCTAATTTTAAAGAAGTGCCTGCATAAAAGAAATAAAAATTCTCCTACCTTCTACTTCCACCTGCTCTGCACTTCCAGCTGGCTCCCCAGCCAGCTTCCCCTCCTCTCTCCTTCACTCCTTGAGAGGTACTGTTAACTGCTTTCTTCTTCAGTCTCAAAAATTTGAGTGCCCTAGTTTGAATCTTGGATCGGTCACACACTGTGTGTCCTTGGATGGAAGACCGACCTCAGAAGGTCGTGAATAAATTACC